GACCACCAAATACTAGCAGAGTTTGTTTTGCTCTCTAATAAACAAGTAGAATAAAGTGTCTGACCTGGGACAACGTACTGAAGGCATTCAGCTGTTCCTGCAGAGCAGGACCAGGTTTCTCAAAAGGCAAGGACGAAGGGGCCTCTGCCCTGTCACCAACAACAGACCATTACTAGAGGACAGTCGGTGCCTTCTTCTATAGGCAATAAAACATAGTTTAGTGTCAGGACACTCAGCTCCATGCTCGTTGTTCTGCCCTATGAGCAATTCCTCAAGTAAAATGCTTTTGGCCCACTTTGTAAATTGAAGGAGATGAACAGAGGTAACAGGTTTTTGACTGAAGGCCCAACTGTGCAGCCGGTAAAATGCTCTTTCAAAGGCCTTTTCATCCTGCCAAAGAAAAACCGCCTGGAGGGAGGTTTAGGGATCGAGCCTGTTCATGTCACTGACAACAGGCAGTACTCAGGTTCCCCTACCTGTGGGTTACAAAGACAAACACAAGCCCATGCTGCCTTTCTCACAGCTTTTAAGTGTTTACATTCTTCCTTTAGTGTTGCTGAAAAACTTCTTAAGTCAAAATCTCTTGCAAATGTAGTTTTTTTTTAATCAACCAAACATTCTTTAGAATAAGCAAAGTGTGTGAGAAAGCCATAGTGTCACAAAGTCTCCCTCTGTTGATCCATTTTTGGTTACATGGAGCTGATCGCAGTGAAAGAAGTGACCGTTTCCATCCAGGTACCACTAACTGCTGATTAAACGGCCAGAGCCACTTCACCTCTTCCACTCAGGGCAACAGCAGGACAAGGCATTTGTTGCATACAAAGCACCACCTCAGTCTGGGTACATGTGTGATGGGCGGTAGGTGATAAATGTACATGTTCACTCTACAGTACGGGCAGTAGTGTCAATTCATATGGCGATTTTTGTCACTCAAAACCGGGTGGGGAGGAAAAACTATTCGTGTCATACATACATTAAAATACAAACTAAAAATGGGTAAAAGAAAAAAAACAAACTGAAAAGTGGTTTAAAAAGGTTTTTAGTGTCAACACACCCCAGGCATCATTCTTAAAACAAAAAGGAAATAAGGAGCATTTTCTTTCTCGTGTACTTCTCTATAGTATTTTCCATAGCATATATTACTCTACTTTGAACCTATGTACACTACGGTGATGGGAGTCTGAGTTGATTAGTTTGGTTCTACAGCAAAGTGGAACGTCTACGCTATGACACGAGCACACATCCACAGCTGCGGGATGATGTCACTTGTGCTGGACCAATGAGGACGAGAGTAGCACATTGGGAGCGGTGATGATGTCATGAGGCAGCACTGTTAACGCTGCTTGGAGCTTTCTGATGGTCAAAATAAAAAAAATATTATAAAGTCACAGCACTTAGTATCATAAGCAAAATAAAGACGCTCGGTGCTTTCCTTTCTCTCTCTCTCTCTTTCTTTTAACGCTTTCCACTTCTGCAGCACCTAAAGAGAAAGCAACTGAGGGCAGTGAGGAGGGGTTTAAACTCCACCCGTCTGCTTCAGGCCATGAAGAAAGCAAGCCTCTCTTTCCTTGTCTAAGATTGATAAATAAATTAAAATATTGTCCCCTAAAACCCAAAGGTCCTATGTACAAGTACAAATCATTTTCTCTCTGTAACGCGGGGCGGGGGGGGGGCTGCAGAGCACTGCCACTTCTGCTGAGAGCAAACAGAGACGGGAGCTTTCCATTCCTATATAATATACCCTTTCTGGATAAACACATGCATACGTACTGGCAAGTGTATACAGCTTCTCTCTCTCTCGCACACACACACCCAGACATCTACACCCTCAACGTACACTGCTACTAATTCATGATAACTTCTCTTTCAACGAGACGATTGATTTCTTAGTGTTTCTGCCCCGTCTTGGAAGTACGGCGAGAAACAAGCTGAGGTTGTAGAGTGGAACAACTGTTCACCAGGAGGGTGCAGTGGACAGGAGGCACACTCCTCTGGGCAGTGACGGGGACTATTCAGAAAAGGGGTGAGAGGCTGTGGTGGGGGGAGGGGGTTTGAAGTCCTGTGCTGCTGGGCGGGTGAGAGGCTAGCAGGGGCTCATGTGTCCCAGGTCATCCGGTCTGTGCTCTCCAGGGACAGGGACTTGGTCTTGTGTGGCGAGGCCGGGCTGGGGGGGCTGCTGAAGGTGGAGCTGTTGGAAGCCGTGGAGTGACGGGGGGAGTCCGAGTCCTGGGGGAGACAGGAAGATGCAAATGAAGAAAGCAGAAGTTAGAGATGAAGTAAAACGGTGTGATTCTCTGTTTGGATCCAGGCTAAACTTGTACACACACACGATGCCTAGAATAAATTGTCCAACTGTCTTGTGTTTACCACCTCTGGGCACAGTAAACCAGACAAACATCACAGATTCAACACTTTTTAATCTACTGTGAGAAAACCTACAGCAGCCATCTGTTTCTCACAACACAATGTGGGTGGGCAGTTGTGATGATACACTCACAGATCCTGCAGTTTGTGTACTGAGGGGGGCGCTGCCCACCTACATTGTCTAAAAACTACGTGACACTGTCAGCCTTCACACCCATATTGATTTCCATCACTGAACAGTCATTTGAGCCACAGATGTGCATCAGGATTCACTCAAACCATTCAGCTGTTGGGATGTATCCAGTCCAATTTCTAATCAATCATTTTGGTGACATTATAAGTACAACAAGATTGTGGTGGAACCCTGAGCACAGACTACACAACATACTTATTGTGTGTCCTCCTGACCTGGATGTGCTCTGAACTGGACAGCTGACGGACAGAAACATGGGCAGGCTGTCAGGGAGCTGTGGAAGCCGACATGCTCTGTCACTGGTTGGGTGGGCAGCGGTGGAAAGGAGGATGCCACGTGGGCGAGCAGCAGCAGCAGCATTGCACCAGTCAGCAACCAACAACAATAACAGAGGCTGGGTGAGGGACAGACTGATGGTGCAGGTATGTCAGATGCTGCTATGAAGGGGCTGAGATGGTGCAGCAGGGGGGCTGTGGGACGGCGGATGTTCTCTGACACAACCTGTGTGTGTGTATTTGTTCTGAAGGCACCACATGCTACTGGAAGTGTCTGCTTATAAACACTGAAATGAGAGACTGTACTGCATGTGGGTGCACATTCAGTGCCACTGGTGTGTCTGGTGTGGACGATGCAGCTGTTGACATTACCTTCATCTTACTAAGCAGGGTCCTTAAAGCCCTTTTCAGATCGGGGGTCTTCTCCGACGGTGAGACCGCCTGCCACTGCAGAGGAGAGTTCAGACTCAGCGCCCAGCCCACAGACAACATGCTGGGGTGGGAGGGGGCAGGCAGGGAGGGCAGGGAACAGCTGGGTGGGGGTGGAGGGAGGCCAGTAATGGGGCAAAATGGAGCTGACAGCATCCAGGCTTATGGGCCATGACGATGTGGAGCCACAGGAAGATAGACAGGCGATTTGGGTGGATGGGGTAGAAGCACAAACACTAATGTTCCATTCCTGTCATTTTCTTTGTGTGATGAGTTTATAACCTACACTACTGAGGATATTTTTACAGCCTGTGCCCAGTTAGAGTTTAGGTCTTTACTACTTGCTCAAACTGTCAAAGGGACATGACAAACAGGCAGTGTCACGGTGCGTCCTTCACTCATTGGAGGCAACAACTAGCCGGGCCTCAACCTACAGGGAAGGCATTAACAGTCTGTACTGGGGGAGCAGGTGAGCGGCCTCTGTGGGCTGAATCAGCTCACTACATAGCGCTGATATCACAGATCAGAGGGAGCTAGTCAGTCTCAGAAGTGGGATGAGGTGAGAGGCTTGCACACAGAGCCCAGGATGTTTGTGACCGATGGGGCAGAGGGGGGAACAATGTCTAAAGGAAACAGTCATCATCTCCATCTGGACTTGTTCATACATAAAGTTGCATGTTCCGTCTGTATTTACTGACCTCTCTGTCAAACTGTGAGAGGGGGGCGTCACCACAGTCCATTCCTCCACCAGAGGACAGGGAGCTCTCAGAGGGGGAGGTCATGGTCTGACGTTTCGATGCATAGGTGCCCCCTGACAGGTCCCTGCGCAGTGCGCTGCCATTCTGGGAGGACGCGCCTAGAGGAGAGGGGGCTGACAGTTATAAATGATAAAGTTTACTGAAGTGTGTCTGGATCTGAGAGGCCCCCTGGGCTGCTGTTACTTACGTATGCCCAGTCCACTGCTGGCGCTCATGGAGCGGCCCGGCTCAGCCCGGGTCTTTGTGATGGAAGGGATGCTGACTGAACCACTGAAGCCGGCACGGCTCTCCTGCTGATTTAAAACACATACGCACACAAGACAGAGTCCAGTGCAGGAGACAAGAGTGAGGAGGGTGCACAGTGACACACTACACACAACTGAACAGAAATATGGCCAAAACGTGAATCACCAAGAAGGTTCATGCACGCATGCCGTGTAAATGCACAGCGGTTTGAGAGGGTGAGTGGAATTTATAGAACAGTACGACTTTGACGAGCTTCATTATGTAACTCAACTCAAAATAGGGGAAAACAGAAAGTAGACATCACTGAACAAGGAGGGACACCGTTCCTGTTCAAGCAGCAAGTCGACACACAGGCACAATTACCAACTGTTCCTCGTGTGTCTGTCTTTATACTTGTGCTTACATCCTTCACTTCTGTTCATGTGCTTCTGTTTACATGTGTGTGCGCCAGTGCACATAGCCAGGTTTTCCAGAATGTAGTGCATTTATCTGAATGTGTATAAACAGTACAGATGTGTGCGAGCACCATGGGCAGGTCTTTAAGGATCTGGATCCCATCTCCTGGTCCCATGTGGGCTACATGGTTGAAGTTGGTGGGATTGGAGATCAGCTTGTTCCTCATCTCTGGATCTCGCAGCATCTCTCTGGATCCCAAACACATGAGCAGAGCCACAAAACGGGTTAGAGGCAGACAGGGACTCAGAAGGCAAACCCACACACACTGGTCTCCCTGATTAAGCTCGTAAACTGTGGTGGAAAGTCTAAATGTCTAAAATGTGTTTAAGATTTGATTTCAAAGGCAGGTTCTTCAGTGGGCATTAGTTTCCATCTCCTGTCACAGTCCGTCTTCCCAACATGATAAGACTGTGGATTTTATTAGCTTTCCTCAGTGTTACAATACAGAGATGATGAAGAAAGTTCGTTTTCACAGCTAATACAATAAAACAATGTGTGACAAAAGCACACACAGGACAGGAAATGTTATGAACTGTGTGACAAAAGCACACACAGGACAGGAAGAATGAAACCAAACTGCTCTATGACGACAGATGTGGGCTGTGCTACCTCCTCTGCTGAAGCCGCTCTTCTTCAGGCACCCTGAAGGAGAAGCGTCTCTTGTTGTTCATGCTGCGCACCATCTGCTTCCTGCTGTTGTCTGATGTCTCCGGGACGACCAGCTCATCCCCCTCTGGAAGTCATAACAAAGCCACAGGCATGTTTACATCAGCAACTACAAAGCACTTCAGATTTCTTGGGTGGCTGAGTGGCATGTCAAACTGTCTACGGTTACTGAAGAAGCTACTGCACACATTGTACACGGTGGCGAGACAGAGTGAAGCGCTGAATTTAATAGCTGGTCAAACCTTATTTGGCTGCAAGAACTTCAAACAAGCGTTTCCTGTAGCTGCAGCTCAGACCTGCACAACATGCAGGAGGAGTGCCGAACCATTCTCCTTCCCACGACTGCTTCAGATGAGACATATTCTCAGGATGTCTGCTGTGAACGGCTCTCTGAGCTCATTCCACCACAACAGATCTGCTGACTTCATGTCTGGCTCTGACTGGGCTGCTCCAAGAGGAGGATTTACTGTTTGAAGTTGTTCTGTGGCAGATTTACTTCTTTGTTTAGAGTCATTGTCCAACTTCTACTAAGCTTCAGCTGGCAGACAGCCAGTAATGGCAGCTGTCCAGCGCCAGAGGCAGCAAATCATGGTGCTCCTCCACCTCTGGAATAATGTTAGGTTCACCTCTAGGGAGAGGAGCCACAGCACTGAACAGTCTGCATTACAAGACAGTGCACCTAACTGTAGGTCAATAACTATCTGAAGTCTCTGAGATGACTTTGTAACTCAAAACAACAATTATCATTACTGTTAGTCTTTTGAGATCTGGTTGTAATCAGGTGCTTCTCATGAATAACAAACTCAAAATGTTTGAGCATTTTTTACAAGCTCTAACCTCCACCCAGTCAATGAAACCTGGTTTCACTCCATGTTTGATCAACGCTGACCCAGTTAGCTTTAGTTGATTTCATTAGCCGAGGGGCTCACACACTTTATGCAGCTTGCAATGTCCAAGTTTTAATGATGTGTTCAGTATGGATGAGAACAGTACAATGATTAGTGTGATATTTGTTTGTTCATAACTGTAACTTAGATGAAGATCTGGCCAATAACAGATGAAGGGTTAGTGACAAAACTGTTCAAAATTCCATCTGTATCAGCAGCTTTACATGCTGCTGGAGCAACTGTAACACAGAGCAAAGGTCAGACATAATCCCTTGGCTTTCTGGATGATGCTTGACTTCACTGCGTCATCCTTGGCATTTTTGTAGCTTGTCACTGTGTGATATTTCACACAATGAACCTGTAAATTCTTACCGGCCATCTTGTTTCTAAAGTAGATAAGTCGGACCGTCTCCAGTCCCAGCAGGTTCAGAGAGCCGTCAATGTTCAGAGGTCGCACCTGAAGGGGGAATCAGAGGAGTCTATCATCAGTAAATGCTCAATACTACATTTTCATCCGTCTTCTTCCTAAAAATCCAACTGAATACTAAAAATCTGAGGTTCATCTTTTGATGTGACAGATTGGTGGTTACAAGAGAGAGAGATTACTATGACAAAAGAGCTAATTAATTTATTCCACCAGGTGGAGACAGAGACACCTCAGCTTTCTTCATTTGCTTCACATTTCATTTCTTTTCTGCTGAAGCTCGAGTCACCAGCACTGACCTTCTTGAGGGGGATGGTCTGAATCCACTCCATAGTATTGACATCAAACACATCGACAGCATTCTCACTGTATACTGACAGATAGGGAGCGTTGTAGCCTGGATAAAAGGAAACTTAAGGTCAGTTTCTCCCAGTATTTTAGCATCATCTCTGTCTGTGATTATTTATAATATATTCTTATTGATATGTCAGGATTTATATTATTTGTAACACTACATGCTACAATAGCAATTTCACCTCAATCATCTTAAATTAACATTAATTCCGTGACTTACATGCAGAGTTGGGCACAGCTGGCCACATCAGCTCCTGCTGACGTGACCTGCGGCCCTGGGAGTCCACATACACTGCAATGGCGCTGAAGCACAGCAGCAGCTCTTTGCTGGAAATCTCCACAGCACAGAGGGCATCCAGGCTCTGCTGAGGGATAAAGGCCAGGGTGTGGTCCTCCTGGTGGAGCAGGCTGACTGGGGACACATCACCATGGACACTGCGGAGGATATCAGAAATATGGAGTCAGATTTATTCAATTAAATGTACCCATTATTTGTGAATGAATAAATAATCTTAATATTACATAATTAAAACCACTACAGACAACGCTCCACAGTATCTACACCACATGATAAACAGAATACCTGTAGCGGGTGAAGCCAGACTGATAGCCCACATACAGACGCTCACTGAGCAGACCCATCCACTGAACAGGCCCTGGGGCCTGCAGCTCCCGCAGCCGACGGTGGCGCGTTTTACTTTTATTCACCTGAGGGACAAATTGGCAAATGCTTCTTTTACAAGCTTATGTACTGGGTAAAAAGAAGAAATACTATATCATATTATGAAGTGGGGGAAGGTAAAGAAATGTGCTGATCTGAATCCAAGACAGCCTTTAAAATGCATCTGAAGAGACACAATAAATCATTTTGTGAGCATGATTTAGATCTCTATGCGATCTCGGCCTCACGTACTTCTGCCATGCTTGCATTAGCAGGGAGTAGCCTTGCATCAAACAAAGCACTCCCCCTTTCCTCGCTATGCTGCATTTGCAAATAGCAGGCTGTAGATCAGGGGGGGCCAATTCCAGTCCTCGAGGGCCGCCGTCCTGCTTGTTTTCCAACTATCCCTGCCTGACCTGCTGCTGATTACCTGGCTCAGGTGTGTTCAGCCATCTTAGATGAAAGTGGAGTGAGGAAAGATAAAGTGAATTGGTATCTTCCAGCAGCAGGTCAGGCAGGGATAGTTGGAAAACAAGCAGGACAGAAGCCTTCGAAGACTGGAATCACCCACCCCTGTGTTACATCATGTGACGAACTGTAGACAGGAAGCGAAGACTGATTCAAAAACAAATCCAATATGTTTGACATTATGAAAGATATTCTGTGCCCTCCTGCAATGACTTTTCCAACGCCGTGCTGCCTGCACTGTAGACCTAGTGCTGAATAGCAGTTGAAGCAGAAATAAATCACTTTGTGGTTATTAGTTCCAGTTACTGGTTAACGCAGCATAGCGAGGAAAAGGGAGCGCTTGGTTTGATGCAAGGGATCTCACTGCTAATGGAAACAGGGCAGAATCATTGTCATGTGAGACTGAGATTGCACAGGAATCTAAATCACACTCATAGAACAATTTATCGTGCGGCCCTAGTTTCTCGGCAACCAATGTCAAGGTGCCGTTGATCAAAGGGTGTTCATTAAACAGGGAAGGCCAAGGAAAAGTAGCCCGTGTACTCGAGAGCGTATTGGAGGCAGGGTACTTTTCCGTGGCCCACCCTGTATTATCCAGCTACATAAATGAGTTGGTTTTTCTGACCTCATAGCATATGACTTGTCTCTTCATGGCCACGCACAGGCAGGTGACTGAGCTGTTGCGGACGGGGCCAGAGACGATGGTCTGGCAGCCTTTTGTCTCAGCCAGCTTGTAGGACTCGGTCTCACGTCCGTCCAGGGCCTGTGTGGGGAAGAGGCGGACATGGCGGTTCCTGCCAGAGATGACAGCCAGAAGCTGCTCCTGGGGAATCAAGTCAATGTGGTGCACCTTCTTGTTGTCTCCAACCCGGATTATTTCTGAGGAGTTATAAAAGAGGGGCAGATAAGGAGAGAGAAGGGAAGTGGTGAAGATACAAGAGAAATAAAAACAGTTCTGGGGGTGGCATAAAATCATGTCATTGATCTGCCTACTGTATCAACGTAAACCCGTTTAAAACAGCATAGCTTTCAAGTGGCTCTTACCATCTTTGGTGACATGGATGACAAAGAGGCCTTCCTCATTGCCCAGGGCAATACGCTCGTGGTCTGGGGATGAAGCAGATAAAAGTCAATTGCTATATTTCAGTGCCAAGAAGGAGACAGAAAAGGGCCGTCTGTACAAAAAAGGTTCCAATCTGCTAGTTTCTATTTTCATAACATGTTGGACTCTGGACTATCAGGCCTGGAGGGCTAATCCTGTCTGAATGGTTATCTGTGAAAATAGCTCTGTCTGGAGCAGCTAATTATAGCTGCAAATACCCAAACAAGGAAGTATTTAATTTGGAAATAACTCAATTCAGATGGCAAGACGATAAAAAGAGACAACACTGACATATTTCAGCTGCTTCCTCTAATACCTCCTGCAGTTCTAGTGTTACTGGTACTGTATGTTTTGAACTGGAGTGTGAATGCTGAATGCCCACCGATGATAGCAGCAGACTGAGTCGTCTTGATGAGCGGCAGGGTGCTGTCGTAGGCCTCCTTGGGGACATAGACAAAGCGCTCCTTGAGCTTGTTTTTCTTGAGGATGCGATGGAGCTCATTGAGAAGGCCCACCCACTTGTTCCTCTCCTGGTCGCTGTCGGCCAGGATCAAGATGGAGGGTTTGTGGCTGCTGGAGGGGGAGAGCTGGGACGCTGTCACCTAGAGGACAGAAAAGGGGCAAGTGAAAGGTGACATTAGATGTTGAATAGCATTTCTGAATATGTTGATATTTGGATGATTTTGAAATGTTTGGCCACAGAAAATCAAGAGAACATACCCTGAATATGCAGGGAACGTCCTTTCGGTTGGCATGGATGACATCAGAGGCCAGGACAGAGCTGACGGAAAACTCTTCATCCCTGTATGACAGGAATGAGATGGAAGGTCAGACATGCAGGACAGAGTTGCAATGATTCCTCTATTATCTGCAAGTAATTTTTTTTTCTCTAGTAGAAAACATTCTCTAGTTTCACCTTTTCTCTCGCTCGCTCTATATCTATATACACTTTTTTTTTTTTTTTACCTCATATCTATGACTTGGCTGACTACTACACTTGGTTGTGTAGCTTTTCCTTCTCCCAGTTCATAGAGGAACAGTTTAAAGTCACACACCACAGCCATCGCCCTCTGCCAACCCTTCTTCACCCCTGTTGGTTTGGGCACCTAGGAAGGACAGGCACAATTTAGTGTTTTACCACAAGAACCAACAAAAAGATTCTTGAAAAAATATCTTCTAGTGTCTTAAATGTAAACGCGTCCATGGAGAATATTACCATTAAAACAAGAAGCTTATTTGCCACTTGGGGCATCTGTACTTGGGTATGATCAGTTAACACGTGTCAACCAAAAGACATATTTCATGGAAACTTTGTGTGAGAGTAAGAAGAAAACAGTGAGAGCGAAAGCAAAGGCTTACTTGCCATAAACAATTTATGGCAGGGTCTCCAAGCATTTGCCTTCTTCATTCATCTGACTATTACTGTACCAAATCACTGTCTGAGGCCAAAGACAAAACCTGTGTCAGTCTCACTCACCCTCACGTGCCCTTCATATGCAGTACCAATACCCCTCTGGGGGTCGATACCCAGGGGACCCTTGGTCTGGTCCTGGGGTACGGGACACACAGCCGGAGCCTTGTCTGCACAAGTTACATGGCAGGAGAAGTTACACACTGGGCAAAGAGAGAGAGGGAGACAAGATGGAGAAGAATGAGAGGTTTGACAGGTCAATCATCACAATGTACAATTAACAAAAAGGCAAATTAACTTTGTAGTTTTCATCTTTAAGCTCGATGGATATTTGTTAAAATTTTACATAGGAATATACTGTATGAACTAAAGTCAAAGATTTTGGGTGAGTCATACAAATTCAGTGGTGTCTACAAGATGAAATCAGAGCTGGCCAAACACAGCTTACAAGGTTAGATCCTACATATTGTATTTTCCTTCACAGCCCTCTCTCTTCCCCTGCTGCTAGCCCTGTCCTTACCTTCACAGGTGCAACCCTGACGTATCAGCCCCACCATGAGAGAAGTGCACTGGTTACACTTGGTCGGCGTGTTAAATGACTTCACCACAAACTGATGTGCTTTGGGCTGTTGAGAGCACAAGTGAACAAAAGAAGCACTCTGTTGTTATTAAACATAACATGAGGACACTGTGGAAAAGCTGTCCAACAACCAAGTGCGACTCTACGGAAAAATGTCTAACCTTGGGTGAGGAGCGTCCAATACTGCCGTACCCTCCTGATCGCATGGTCGGGGTCTGGACTGTACGAGGAGGGTGGTCTATCAACTTTATGAGAAAACACACAAAAAAAATTAAGCGCTGACAAGACATCACTGCATCTTGGCTGTGATTCTGACTGAGTGACATAAGCCTTGGTTACCAGCTTCCCAAGAAGAACAAGCTAGGACAAGAAATTTTACAAGGTAACCACAAGTTATTTGAAAGTCCTGCTGTAGTCACACAGTCTGCTAGCGGAATACCAGCCTCTATACAAAAATAACCGAGTTTCTTGCTCAGACTTCTGAATTGACTGACCTCTATGGGCTCCACATCACTGGCCATGGAGGGTGAACGTGAGCGGGACTTCAGGAGAGATTTAGGGTCATCTTCCCGAGACGGAGTGTTAGATGGAGTGAAGTTATCCATTGAGTCCACCTGAGGGGAGAGAGAGAGGGAGGAGGAGAGAAGAAAGGGACAAATAAAAACAAAGTGAGGAAGGAAGACAAAAAAGGGAAATGGGAATATATGAGAAGAGAATGAGGATGGCGATGAATCAGAAGGACAGAGGAAGATGGGTAGAGGGTGAGAAGGAGACAGGAAAAGAAGTGGAGTGTTAGTTAAACAAAACAACCCACAGAATAATATGCAGTGCTGTGCTTAGGGAGAAGGGCGAGCACCATGATACATAAACAGAAGACAGAATAAAGTGATATGCTACAAGGTAAACTGACCACAGCTTTATTACACACCATGCATTATAACAGATGGAGACATCACAGCCCACTGGCCATTTATTCAACACACCACACGTATACACCATGCATGGCCATTCACAAAGCTTTCCCAAGGAAATAAAAAAAATAAAAAACACAAACAATAACACACACAGGCAGCACATGTAGCAACACCCATGTGATGTAAACATTAATGCCTTTAAAAAAAACATCCACCAAAAAGGCCGTTTCCCAGCCCCTACCATGCAACCAGACAGCCACAGCAGACACACACAGGAAACGCACGCACAAACTAAGGACAAGACAGCACACAGGAAATGCACGCACAAACTAAGGACAAGACAGCACATTTAGAAAGGCTCAATGACAGCAATCACAGAGCGCTGTGATGGTGCTTACACGTCTGCCTTTGCTAGTTGGGCCAACGGATGGCGAGCGCTTCAGTGGCAGGAGGAGAGGCAAAGAGTGACAAAGACACAAAGACGAGTATCAGAAAGACTGCCTAACAGAGCTGAACACACACATTTGGACAGACTGAAGGAGAGACATGAAAATGGTAACAGAAGCCTGCATTACACTGGACCAGTGCTTCCCAGCCTTTTTTTGTCTGATGTAAGGTTACCTCAAGTGCCTGTTCATGGGCAAATATGTTCCTTTACCCTATGTAGGTCATAAGCTGAATGTTTTTTAACACTTTAAACTGTATAGAAGTACATACTGTTCTGATATGTTAATATAACCATCAAACATTACTGTGCTACAACTGATTCTGGTTAATGTGCAGCTTAGTCCTTATTGTAAACTTACTGAAGATCACACCAATTTGTAATCCTGTTTGGTGGTTTATTTTGTCCCTAACAAATACAAATATACTGCATTTCTTTAAATGAATCACAATTTTTCTATTTTAATTTACTTAGTTGATTTCAGTTGAGGTAATTAGTTGAGCTTTCCATGTACCCACTGACACAGCACCCAGGGCAATTACTGTACCACTGGCTGGGAATCACTGCGTTAGACTACTATATGTCCACCAGGGTTGAACTGAGGACAGAGGGTGAAGACAGTGGACGGGTGCTGATGGAAAAAAAACACACGTCATAGCGAGTGAGCAGCTTGGGGTAGTCACTACAGAGTACAATAACAATTCGAAAAAATACACGTCATGGCGAGTGAGCAGCTTGGGATAGTCACTACAGAGTACAATAACAATTCAAGTTCCCTCCCTGGCTGAACAATGATAAACATTGGCTGGAGGGTTTAAAAATATACTTTGTGCTTCTATTCAGCCCGATTCCTAGCACTAGAAGTTAAGTAGAGCCATGCCACTAGCCAGCAAGGACCGGCAAGCACCTGAGTACAGGGGCAGCAGCACACTGCAAAATATGTCCACCTTATTAAGATTTTGTATTCAATAGTATCTCTAATTATTAAAGCACCAGATTTTTCTTAAAGCAATAAACTAAACTGCTGTATTACAATGTTAAAAACACTATGTGCTGGAAAATAATCAAATCAACTTTGTCAATTTACAAATCTTTCATTTTGTTTTAGGAAGTTCAACCTTGTTAAAGTGACAGGACTGACATGTTTGGCAGTGGATCTACTCTTCCTCATAGTTGGACTGATGCAGTAGCACACACATGTACTCACACAGCTACAGTGGGTACACTGACACATCTACACTGTCTACACGTCTCAGCCAGTACCAAGATAAACTTACGTCTTCCCAAAACTCAATTAAAGAGGATGAGGATGAGGAATAAGAGTCCTGAAGAATGAAGCAAGAAAACAACCAAAAAACAGAACAGAACAGAAAAATACAGATCTGGGAAAACGTGTGCAAACAAATTTAAAAAAATAAAAGAGGAGCATGAAGACACAGCTGAGCTATAACAAATGAACTGCTCATGGTCATAGATTTCATATTTTTAATTGCACACAGACATATGGTTGATCACATCAAGTATCAGCTCCGTAAGGATTTTTTTCATCAATACTTACATCAAACTGGTCAAGCGCTGAGGTCGGGGCATTGAGAAAGGCTAAGAAGGAATTCTGGGAATCCTGGTGCTTGACACCTAAACGCAACAAATAGCACAACTATGGTTGAGCAGGTGATATATTAAAACATCAAACGGTGACGTAAACAGTTTCCAAGAACTGGGGGGAGCGGCCATCCAACCGTCAGCAGCCAATGTACAGAGAGAAACTATACACTTTAATAACTGTATTATCACATACATTTTTAGATGCAGTAGAATATAAAATACATATGCTAACACTTGTGTCCCTGAAAACAATTACTACCACATCATTCTTTGTACATTTTACTACTGACAAGAAAATGATATATCTTTACCCCTGCGTAGCCGCAGCTCCTCTGTCTCCTTTTTCAGCCTGTCAATCTCAGCCAGGAGTTCCTGGTTTTTACTCTCCACCTCCTGTAGTTTACTGTGCGTCAGAGACAATAATGCATCAGATAATAACCAGAGGTTTGGACAGATATTTTCTGGAATACTGAACACATACAAATATAACAGTTTTGTGGTTCCCTACCATTCTGTGGAGATATTGTTGGCCTTGACCTTGTTCAGTTCATCCTGAATGCCCTGCTTGGCCCTGATCTCAGCGTCCAGGGCAGACTGCAGCTCCAAACGGGCCGACATGTCCAGCTTGGCGAAGCGGCGCATCTTCCACGGCATGTCCTGAAACAGAGAGAAGTTAGTTACTGTAGTGATGAAAACTGGAGCCCAAAGGAGAAATGACATGTGATCCAATCCATCACAACTATTACTATAGTTACTTCTAATTACTGTACTATGGACTTGCCACCCATTATCAATCCGAATATGAAAGAGAGGCAAAAACCTTAATTTAATTATCCTAGAAAAACACACCTCATAGCATTGCAGTGGTTTTAATTTCACAGGTCATAATCACAGAATACTTGCATATCGTCAATAACACTGCATTTTACTGCCTCACCAGCTGAAAACTGTTTGTTTGTATTTTACCGTGGCTCTCGCTCCTAAGCTGGTGTTTCTCAGTCCCTCCAACTCCTCAGTCATCTTAGTGGCCAGAGCCTGCAGGTAGCCCCGAGCATCCTTCTCATCACTCACCCTGTATAAAACGCACACCAATGCACATACTTTCTTTACTATAGAGAAAGGCTGGGCAATTAATCAAGTCTTATTTTCAATTACAATTTTGGCTTCCAAAGATTATTAAAACAAAATAGTTGAAATAAAATTATTATTGTGCCAAACTCCATTTCGCAATGATGCTCTCGTTTTATCATGTGTTGTAAATCCAGCGCACCCCTGGAACACTCTCCATCCGTATTTTTTGCTAGCACCGGTGAAGTGAAACATTACCCAGGTTGACAACACCTAAGCTTGTTACTGTACGTGCTAAAGCAAACAAACTTGTATGTAAATGAGAGGGAGAGAGCGGTGTATGGCTGTGCTGAGCAGAATCTTTAGGTTATGACAAGCAACATTTTATTTGTAAAATAAAGAAATGCAGAGTAATAGCCTAAGTAATTGCTCTGAACTGTCAATCACAATTAGGTAGGTAAAAACCTTAATTTGTTTTTTAGTTGAACTGTATTTAAAGTTAAAGATGCCCCACTGTTTAAAGACAAGTTTTTTTCTTAAAGTACAACAAATGCATAATGTTTTCAAAGTCAATGCAGAATCACGTTAAATAATCGTGTTTAGCATTTGTGCCATAACCATGCAGCCCTACTATACAGTACAGGGATGTGATGTCCTACTTTATCCACTGCAGCAGCACATCATCTCCACTAGGGGGCAACATCAATCACTGAATTCCTCTAAAAGTATATTTCAGACTCTACATTTGTGTGTGTATTGGTGTATGTGTAGTTCTGTTTCTGGATGAATGTACTGAGTGTGTGGTATGCGAGCTATGTGTAGACCCCAGGCTTGTCCAACTGAGAGAGGCTGAGCAACTGGCGAAGTGTCAGCTGCAAAGGGAAGTGATCTGAGAGGAAGGGAGGGTCAAATAGCTCTAAGATCTTAAGAGGTATGTGAGAAATACACAACTAATACTATACGGAGGAACCCAATACACTACGAGACAACAGTGAGTGTGTGTGCATCTGTATCCTCTTTATGAGCCAGCTTTCAGTTTGGCTATGGCATCAATGAGAAAGAATATGGCTCAGAAAAAGATTTAGGACAGGTGAGAATGTTACTTTATGCATGTTATGTGTTTAACTGTGTGTGTGTGTCTTACCATTGAATAATTTCTGTGATCTGGGCCTCCCAGTGAGCTACACTCTCCTTTTTGTCAGCCAGCTCCCTCATCTCGTCCTCCAGCTGCCGGTTGGAGCTGCTCACCCTCTCAAACGTACTTGCCAGCTAAAGGAATACCACCACACACACACACAAACACACACACGGAAAGAAAACTAATCTTATTAAAGATCATATTAAAAAGCATAGCTGTCATTAGAAAACCTGAGACTTGATAAATGGATTCCTAAACTGTCTGCTAATGTGCATGTTGTTAATAAACTAGTACTGTCTAATGAGTCTAAGAGGTTAGCCTCCTGTGTGACAACAAAGGCGCTGTCAACTGTGACAACTGGTTCAATAAATATTGATCGATTCACATCAGAAGGTTTTCCTGAATTCTTTAATATGAGAGGTGTGTGAAGAGTTAAGTGACATCATTACAAGTCTGCCCTACTGTTTGCTTTTTGAGCATGCTTTTGGTGTCCTGAAGCTGTCAAGACTATGTTGTAATGAGAAAGCTAATACCATCATTTAGGGATGGAGGAACTCTGGTTGGAACTAGTGAGGTTTCATTGTTATGGTGGAGTCATTGGAACGTTTTATGCATGTAGCTAAGAAGCTAAAAACAGTCTTCGGGGTCCAGCTTTGCCTGTAAAGATAAGCGATATGCCAGCTGATATAAAAGCATTGTAGACAGCTGGACTCATTAATATAGCAGCTTATCCGCTTGCATGACACAAATCTCAAAAATGTGGCTGAGTCCAATCAAATGCAGGATGTTCTACATATGGATCAGAATTGGATCGGCTCTATTCTGGCCGATACCGACCCCCACTATCAGATTGGGACATCTCTACTTTTGTTTCATATTGTTTTGCAGTTGCTCTCCAATTCTGCAGCTAGTAATCAACATGTCTGAAGTATTTCTGAGGACAGGCAAGATAATGAAATAAGTGTCATTGTTTTGTAGAAGGCTCTAAGTCACTGAAATAAACAACCTGTAATGGTTTTGCAGTGATTGAAATCACTCATACGACAACATTTAAGTGTAACAAGCCTGCGAATGCAGACACCTCATCAGAAACACATTGTATAGTATGGTTTAAATATATATAGTGTCTTGATTTTGCTGCTAAGCAAACTGTGCTGAGATTCAGTGTCTCTTTTCAAAGATAAGACTAGTCCAACAACATTTTCAGACAGTCCAAATGTATTGAAGAACTTTTTTTGTGCAAACACTACAATGCAGACAGATCTAATCTGCTGTAAGATTTAGCTTTTAGAAGTATATTTTTTCCATATGTGAAATAACACAACATTAAACAGCCAGCAGTGAGCTATCTTTCCAGTATACACACATCCATATTCTCCCCATTTCAGCAAGCTAGTTTTTTGAGCAATTAAAAGAAGACATTTTTCCATGTGCCTTCCACTTCTAAAATAATGTTCACATTGCAAGCCTTTTTGAACTTCCAAAAGACATTTCCAAAGTCAACAGAGCCAAATCTAGATAGTTATTGTATTATTGAACAGTGATTTCTTTGGCAGGGTTGGGGAGAGAGGGGGTGGAGCAAGGAATGTGATGAAAATAACTGAGGGGTTACCTGGGGTTAGGAAATTGTGTTTTTCTGCATGTGTGTGTGCGTGCGAGAGAGAGAGAGAGAGAGAGACAGAGAGAGAGAGAAAAGCTGAGAAAGCAGGATAGAAAAACAGACCTAAACCATGACAAAAACTGAAAAGGCCCAAAGAGGCAGAAAATCTTGACTTTGTTATAGATTTGTAGGAGTATGTGTGTCCTCAGAGTGATTTTTGTTTCATCGTGTGTGTATATCTTACCTTGTCCAGTTCATTGGACAGCTTCTTATTCTCTTCAATAAGAAGGACTCTTTCTCTCTCGTATTTCTGCTTGTACTCCGTCTCAAACTCTTCCCGTTCGCTTTGGCTAGAAGAAACAGCTTTTTTAAACTTGTCATACTGCATAAACATTAATTCTATAACCATAACTTACAACTGCAAATCTAATCTTGACTCTTGACTTTATCATTTTAAGACAACTAATGACTCCGTCCTTCAAAAATAAGAAATTTTGATTTTTTTTTGGAAGTGTCTTAACACCTAAAACTAAATATTTTTCTTTTAGAGTCACTAATAAAACACACAAAGTCATCTTATAAGCCCCTTTCAGACATGCACCGACACCTTGACACTATGTAGGCATTTGCCAGAGGAGCTGTATGTAAGAACACAAATGTCGGAGCCAGTTGACCCTCGCATTAAGGGGACTTCACCCTGCCAGCTCCCTAGTACAGAGTCTGTGTATTGTCCAATTGAACCCATGTGAGAAAACAGCAGCGTATGGTACTCACACCAAGCTAATAGGCATGTTGATGACATTCTATCATGTGGCCGGGAGTGGACCCAGAAGAATAAAACATCCGATGGTAAAAGAAAAACTCTTATTCTAGCCTTAAAAATTCAATTTAAGACTAGTTCTTTCACTCAGCTAATCAGACATCTACTATGAAATGGTGGATATCATCTTTCAGATGATTTATGCATTTGATGTGAAATGGGGGTGAATTAAGGACGATGACACTACATAAGAACCCCTGGAAACGGGTCAGGAGTTACCTGGATAAGAAGTCAAGTTTATTTGGGTCATGGAGATTTTAAATTCTGGAGGATAACTGGATTAACTATTGAAAAGAAACAGCACTTCACACTTATAACACATTTATACAAGAGGGGGGATTATTACCTCATGAAATCATCACCAAAAAAGACAATGAAGAAATATAATAACTGTCCAGACATTTATGATAATGAATACCAGCAGTAATGCCACTGATCCCTCACCAGACAAATCCAATGAACTAAAAAACGCTGAGATTGGAGGTATTGAATATTGGTTACAAAGTATTAGAATAAGAAAACCTGACAAAGTACCTCTCACGGCGAGTCTTGTCCAGCTTGTCCTTGAGCATTAGGATCTCTTTCTGCAGGGCGAGATGCTGGCTCTCAGCATCCCTCAGCTCCTTGCGCAGAGCCTTCAGCTCAGTGCTATGCTGCGCCTCCCTACGAGCCAACTCCTCCTCATACAGGAGTGTCTTCTTCTCTAGGTCTCCCCGGAGTCGCCCCACCTCCTGGGTCTGGTCTACTGAACCCATGGTGGCAGAGGGACCGCTCTGCTTCAACTGTGTGGGTGGAAATATGGAGAAAAGTTGGGTCGGTGAGGCTGAGTAACAAAGATGACTATAACCTGGATGACTGAGAATCTGCACGGACAAAGAGATGAGAAAGATTTGTAAAGAGAAAGTGAGAAAGACCAGGGACTTAAGGTTACAGTGTCACAGGCCACTCACCCAGCAACAGGATGTACAAAATAAAAAAAGAACAACATGAGACAACAAACAGTCAATGTTGTTGGTGTGTCCGCCAGTGACAGATGTATCAGAAAACAACTGTCCAGTCAGAGTAGAGAAGGACTGGTTGGTGTTCAGCTCTGTGTGTTTGCTAACCTACCTTAAGGCCCTCCAACTCCTCCTCTAGCTGTCGGCTATACTGCTCATTCCGTTCTCTCAACTTCCTCTCTTTCTGAGCCTCGGCTGCCTGCTCCTCTGCCTGTGCCTCCATCTGATGATGGACACACACTCCAGTGATTGGATGAAAGCATACATCATACACAATTTAGTCCTCAGGTACCCATCATAAACTATAAACACTCAAACAACAACTTCAGAAATATGAATGGGGCACCAACCAGTGAATGAAGACAGAACAGGGTGTACTAGCAACCACAGGGAGTCTACTCTACCTCCTTCTTAGTCCTCTCAGCCTTTCGCACCTCAATACGGAGAGCCTCAATCTTTTGACTCTGGCTCTCCATCTCCTCCTCCTTATCACGCAACTGGCGAACCAGGCGCTGCTTCAGTGACCTGGGTGCAAAGTTCAGCCAAATGTTAAAGGTGAGTACAAAACAACATGTATTCTGGTAGGATTTTCAGCTGTCAATATTAATGTAGCTTTAAAACTCTGAAATGGAATCTGTAGTTGTACTGGTTTTGAGAAGATGATGAACAGCGGTAATTTTACCTGAAGTCAGTGAGTCTCTCATTGAGCTCTGAAAACTCCTGCATGGCCAGTTTTCTCTGACTGTGGGCATCCTTCAGCTCTTTTGACTGGGACTTCAGCTTCTCATTGGTCTCCACAAGGTCCTAGTCACAACAGGAACAGTGCAGTTTAACATTAGGTTCACACAGTGAGTAAATATGAAAATAAAAAAAGAACTTTCTGAAGACAAAATGTTACATTTTGTTAGAGCTTATTTTTCCAGCATTGAGGGAACAGATGGGCTGTGCACCTAAACGACTAAACTGAACACCAGTTCATACACAGTTACACACAAACACACCCTAAAACTCTGGTCCTACCTTCTGGAGATCATCCCTCTCCTGTGTAAGGCTCTTCATCTGTTTCTCTAGAGTTTTAATGTGTTTAGATGAGTCCTCCAGGTCTCTACGGGCCAGCGTCACATCCTCCAACTTCTTCTCTAACTGACCCGAGTCTGACACGAACACAAATAAAAAGAGAAACTTTTAAAGTTTTTGTCACTGACATATCTCAAATACTCTTCAGCTGTCTCATCCTATGACTCAAATGTGGCTGATAAGACTGTACAAACAGCTCCCTGTCCTGTCTATTACTCCACTGAACTAAATGTGCACAGAGAACTTCTGACCAGCAATCTGCTTCTTGAGGATGTCGATCTCGCTCTTCAGACTCCTGATCTCCACCTCCTTGTTAGCGCTGAGGGGGCCCTCGCCTGTTGGATGCTGCAGTGCCTGCACTGTCTGAGTCGATTCTGCAAGAGGTCAGGAAAGAAACCACTGTAATCTTCTCTGTAACACCGTTTTAATGTTAAACCAAACACTGGTTTAAGGCAAAAATAATGTGTTCATGCTTTGGTGTACAGAAATATTTATGTATACCTTTTAACACATACACAACCGATGCATTAATGTGCACCCTCTCTCTCAGTGTCAAACTTCAGCACAGTTGTGTGCACATACAGTATGTGATTTCACAATGGACCCTCTCTTCAGCCTAACCTTGCAGTTTGCGGCTCAGCTCTAGTTTTTCCTGCTCCAGCCGGCGGATCCTCCTCTCGTAGGCCTCAGTGGCCAGGCTGTCTTCTAAGCTGCGCTGGACATCCCGGTCCAACTGATCCTGACCTGCCTTACCTGGCTCTGCTGCCAGCTGTCTCAGACAACCTCGGTCAGACAGGGTGCTACAGAGGAGGAGAGTCAGACAAGAGTAAAGAGGCAAGAGAACAACACCAATATCAGTGATATAAAGGGTGAAGAACATGGACAAAAATGCTAATGAAGATTAATGATGAGGGAAGAAAACAATTTAATGAGTTGAGAAATCGCCATAATGTTGGTCAACACCGAAATAAAACTGTTAATTATGGAAGAGAAAGAGGAGAGAGGGAGATGACAGAATTGGCAGGGAAGAGGAAACAGGAAAGAGAAGTGGATGATGGAGACAAGATGAGATGAAAGATGGGAGGATGTTGAATCATGGAAAAAGGCGCTAGAGGGAGGGTGGAGAAGAAATGACAAAAGAGGTGAGAAAAAGACACAGACATAGTGGGACAAAGGAGGAATGAAACAGTGGAAAAAGCTATTGTCTCTGAGCCTTGAAGAGAGAAGAACAACTTGTGAGTCTGTTGCATTCTCACGGGTAGCACGTCTGTGTGAAGACCTACAGCAAGTCACGAACATCACCTTATTAGGGAGGGAGGGACGCTAATTTAATACTCCTACGCCTCTATAGATGGAGTGATAAGAATGTTATGACGTGAGAAGGCTTGTCGGGGAAACCTGACCCTTCATAACGACTAACTACAAGTGAAGCTACAAGACTTCATTCTTTATCCCTCTTTATTTTTTACTATCCATTTCCATGTTTTTTTAAATAATCTTATATTTGCTAAATGGAAAAAAACACAGAATACTGCCTCCATTACAACCATAATAATGACACTGGAAGACTTTCCCAAATAATCTATTTTTACGTTTTCCTTAGTAGCACTTACCATTTACTTGTATAAGTGAAGCCCACAAAGGGCAGGTGGTGACCAGAGAAGGCAGTGTGAGAAGGAGGGGGCATAGTCTCCTGAGAAATGATTAAAAACATGACAAACAAGTGAGATTTTCACATCTGACACAAGCAGTTACAGCAATTATGAATACAATGGCAGATGTGAGAATATAGGGGTTGTCTTAGTGAACCGATTCCTAAACAGTCCCCTTACCGAGTTTTTTAGACAGTCATCATCCACGTCAAAGTTGGAGGTATCTGTAGGGCTGCTGACCTCAGGGATGTAGGGGGCCTCACATGTGCGGATATTGTCCCAGTCGATGCCTGAACACAAGGCAAGGTACAGTTATTGAACAAGCATACAGTAATGACACAACTCTGTGATTAAACTGGTTTAAAGAAGGCTAATGTGTCTATGAGATTCATTTTCTACATCATCCAGTTTCTGTTAAAGACACATGCTAGCAATGTCATTCCTCAATCTACAAATAATGTTTAGATTTAGTTGTGCTGGTTGACATAAACAAATCTCACATTTAAATTTGTCAAAGAAGTAAAAATATCCACATAATATACAGAAAAATATAAAAAAGACAAACAAATAACCAGTAATTATACAGTCTGTATCAACAATAAAGACACGTCACTTGCTAATAACTAGCAGAGCACACTATACAACTGCTAGGAGAGATACTAGCAGAGCTTCCAGGTTCAATTTAGAATTATTTACACATCTAGTGTTATACGAGTGGATTACTGAAGCAGTCTAAAAACATCAGTTAAATAATGGAAGACACTGTGATAACTGTGAAGTTAGACTCGTGCTGTACCAGCGAAGAAGGGGTGTTGCTTGAAGTCCTCAATGCCATTCTGGCCCAGTCGGTGCTCTCGGCTGCAAATGAGCCGGCGAATCAGATCCTTTGCTTCCTCTGACACATCTGCTATCTGCTGTGGGAACTGAAATCGCTCCTGTGCAAAATATGTGTTACAGGCAACAGTGAATGTGTTAAAGGGTAGAGTTCAGCATTAAAATACAGAATGACTTCCCAAATGGAAAGCAGCGTGTTCATATTCCATATCCAGTGTCGAGTCATACAGGATCAACACATTTTGCTTTGTATACAACATCTTCCATAACTCCAACACTACATGGATAACTAAGTATTGATGTACTTTACATATACAGAGAGGTATCTTAAAATCAACTTCAAATTCTATATGCTCACCTTGTGGTTCATGATCTTCCCATAGGTTTCCACCAGGGACTCTGCGTAGAAAGGAGTCTCACCGTACAGCATTTCGTACATGCAGACGCCCAGGGACCACCAGTCGCACTCAGGCCCATACTTGCCTTTGCCATCCTCCATAGCCTGAAGGATTTCTGGGGAGATGTAGTCTGGAGTCCCCACCGCCACGGAGGACTGGACCTAGTGGAAGGACACAACAAAATTCAATAAATGACCCATTAATACCACGAGACAGAATTTCACATACAAATAAGCACAGGACCTAGAGTGATGATGATGATGGTGAGTTATAAGACTGATATCAAACACTAAAAAATTGCACCCTTATCACAGCTTGAAGCTTCAATCTATGACAAAGTTCCAAAGAATTGTCTTTCAAATGGTCATTTAACCTCATCACTGTTACTAACACTGGAGAAACAAACCCAGGCACTACTGTACTTTGATCATCAATTTCATCCTGTCATTTTTCTTTTACAAAACTCTGAGAGGAGCAAATCCTTTTTGTCTGCATCATAAACTGCAGGCACAGCCCCAAGCAGCTGAACCACACACTCCTCCTGTGAGACTCCTGGGGGTTGACAAGGAGGTCAGTATAGCTGTGGTATGTTTGCTTTGGACTGAAGGAGGAGGCATCAGCAATGTGGTAAAAACCTACCGTCCCATCCTCCATGAGTTTGAGGCAGGAGCCAAAGTCAGCAAGGCGGATGTGGCCGTTCATATCCAGCAGAATGTTGTCGGGCTTAATGTCCCTGAAAACGACAGAGAAAAGAGGATGGTCGTGGAGAGGTGGGAGAAAAAGAAGGACAAAGTGAGTAAGTGATTCCTCAGAGAAGAATTACTTCCACACAAAACAATACAAAAATCCAAAACCCACACACACAAGCCTGATCTTCAATTACAGTGCAACTCCCCATCTATTATAAACTACACAACCTGAGGAAATTTAACTGTTTGAACTTGCTCGTAAAGCTATTGTACAATAACACAGATATACTTGTGACTCCATAAAGTGTACTTTCTCCCAGCCCATTAATCAGCAGTGTGCCAACCCTAAATTGACCAAAAGAAAGAATACATTCTAGAAATAGCCAGAGCTCTGTTGTGGGAATTTGCTGCACAGAATGTGTGTGTGTAGGAAACAGCTTCAAAAAACAAACAAGCATGCACTCTGAGGAAGTATGCAGCACACAAACACACTCCCATTTGCACAAAAACAAGAGACCCCATGTCCTAAACAGACACACTCCCCTGTTCCCTTTTCCTACAATATTTTTGTTTGTGAACAGAGGCTGGCTGGGTGGGGGGTTACCGACATTCTTTCTTTCACAGATGGGCTCACGCTGTCCGCTGTAGACCTTCTTCTTAAACTGCATCTGTTCTACATTACTACTGCTGAAGATGTGTTTACATCATAGATACAGACTGTGGCTTCGCTCCAGTCAGAGGGATCTAATGCTACAAAGAGTCGGAGTTTTCTGTCAACCTGCTACAACAGATGGAGCATCTCATTACTGATCAGCCAGTTAACAAACAGAGCTACTTAAAATGATGAAAATGCAGCATTGGTTTGGTAGCCAGAAGGGCTGCAGATAAAAATTATTTATCTTTTCAATCGTCTGGTTTATTTGATGAGTGAAATAATTTTAATCAAATTCCTAAAACCTATGGTAACACTTCAAATTCCTTGTTTTGTCTGACCTCTAGTCCAGCACCACCTTTAACAGACCCTGACAAGTGGGTACAAGCTGAAATGCATTGATACTGAAAGCGAAAACAGCAAATCCACACACCTGAGAAGGCAGGTTTAACTAGCGATCAATTACCGTATCAATGTAGCCATCAACCATATTCTTGTCGCCCGACCAATCGTTACAACTATAGTGGCCAGTGTTGTTGCTTTCCCATGTCCTACAAGCTATACATTGGCTAAAGTTCAAGAAAGAATTGACTGGGAAGTAGCTCTGTGCAAGTTCTACATTATTTGCAACATGACGGAACAGCTGTCTACTTTCTGAATATTACCAAAGTGATGCTTGCTTCAGCTTCTTTATCACCAAAAACTATCCCACAGGGAGTAAAGTGCAGGAAATGTTCCAGTATGTTGAACAGGCGGTTTGTGTTGGGCGGTTGGTGCCACTGTTTTACAATGTGCTCTGTGTGTTCCCGTCTCTGGTGGGTGAAAAATAGGTCCTTTTGCTTTGGTTTCATTTCTGACTCTTTGGTGTCGGCAGGACTATTTTCCCTGTCATTCCATTTTATGACACATAACTTAATTTCTGAAATTATTTTTCTTTGTCTGTATGGATTACTTGGGTTGTTACCGGCATCTGGTGAACATTTAATGTCAACAGCACCTTTAGAATTATATTTAATGAGGAAAATGGTTACGTGTTCAATACTTATTTTACCCGATGTAGATAGCTAAACACACACACACACACACACACACACACACACACACGGTGTAACAGGTTACAAAACTGAGCGCGTTTTATTTCTGTCCAGTGATGAAAGCATGATAATAAATATGATGTCCAACACAAGCACACACCCCTGCACCCTCTATTCATAACTCATTAAAAAACAAACCAACAAATAATACCGATACCAATATTTATAAAACAAAAAAAGATGAGTATAGAATAATAGACAACAAGATGATAAAGTAGAAACACACACTCCAAGCTCATTACAAAATCAAAATCCACAGCCTGCAGACTGTCGACATTCTGCATGTGTGCAGGCATATAACTATATTAATGGTGCACAAAACCACCAAAACAGTCTCTAATGACTCTGGCTCTAACTCTAAACTGCTTGTGATGTTAAACAAATCTCAAGCAGGTAATTACATCCCAAGTAAATTCCAGTGCCTTCTGATAGGCCGTCTGTCCCATCACATGGGGCTGGGCTAAAATACAGTATCTCTTCTTCAGAGACACCACTACATCACCAACCCATAAAACTATGGATTAAAGAAAAATGTATAAACTATTTCTTCAAAGCCAGATGTGAAGCTCCTGTCATTTTCCAGTAGTGCCGTCTGTCCCATCACATGGGGCGGGGCTAAAATACAGTCTCTTCTTCAGAGACACCACTACATCACCAACCCATAAAACTATGGATTAAAGAAAAATGTATAAACTTGTATAAATCAGGGTCCAAAACGTATATGTAAAGTGATATTTACTTTACCAAATCACTTTTGCACTGGGGGCTACTCAGAAGTGTGACTGCTCACAGATGAGTTTGAGATTGGACATAGCTTTTTAAAGTGAATACTGTACATGGAACCAAGTGTATACAGTCACACAACCATTCTGGAACATGAACTTGGCAGGCACAGACACACACTGACAACTGACATGAAGTGTACTCAAGGTCAGATTACCCAAGCAAGCATAAATCTCAAAGACTAAGGATTAAGATTATTAAAACAAAAACAAGTATTTCTCCAAACGGATGTTCATCTTGAATTGTTACAAACCTTCACCTTAAATTCAATAATCCAAACCCTAAGGCTTCAGCAAGAGGACACAGACGTGGGCATGATCACTGGACAAAAAAAGTGGCTAAATATAACCTTTTAACATTCAGAAGAGCTCTTAATTCTGTTTCACTAAATGGAAACAGAATTAAACTTCAATGGCAGATTTGTCGCAGTAAAAACCTTCACCATGAACTACGGCTAAGTTTGAGTGTCTTGACAGACATCAAGTGATATCAACAAAGTATGTTCTTATATAATAACACAATAAACATGTGTAACATATAACATTTTTAAAATGCATTGATCTCTGCTTCATAGAGAACTATCTAGAACCCTGACAGGCACACGACCTCTGCACACAGAATCTGGACCTCCTTAACAGGAAATAAAGACTTCACAATTCATCAATGACACCCGGACTAGACTGGGAGCACATGAATCTGAGAGGGGTATGTGTGTATGTACAGTATATACACTCAATGCTAGAAGGCTTTAATCTTCTACCGAGATGACTGTTCTGCCACTTTCTCTCTTTTCAGCAGCATTATCATCTCTACCACCCTCTTCTGCCAAATCTACCTTGACCCGTTTTTCTCTCTCAGACACCAAACTGAACTGTTTAATAAGCCCACTAATAATCACAGCCAGCTAACACCACTGAAGGCTAACAGCGCAAGATCTGTCTCACATTTACCCTTCAATGCATAGACAAAGTCAGAGAGGTGGCAATTCAAGGCTAACGCTAGGCTAGAGTAGCTCATGTAGCTAACTTGGCTACTGTGTCACAGGGTTCTAGTCTTAAGAAGCAGTGTGGAGACCAGAATAGAGAAAGATAATCTCTTCTAAGACCACAGCTTCCATCTGTGAGGGCCATCCAGATGCCACCTTACAGTACACACACACACACACACATCCTTGTTTTTGTCACTTATGGGGTCCCTACATAGGTTTGCATTCATTTCCAGGACACTAACCCTAACCTTAACCAGAACTTCTACTTGCCTAACACTTAACCAAAGCCTACAGTTGCTTTAACCTTACACCCCATCGTTTTCATAAAATTTGACAAACTACATTGTGGGGATCAGTCACCAGTCCCCACGAAGATAGTAACTCATGGATTTTGGGTCACACAAGTATTAATAAACAGGGCCACACACCCACACACACACACACAATGTGGCAGTGGCAACACTGGAAACTGTGCAGACAAGGCGTGTCCACATGGCTCTAGCCAAGCATTTATTGACTAATGGTTCAAAGAATTGCTGCCTATATCACTTCTGGCAGCACTTGATCCCAGCACATGCACACACACGCACACACACACACACACACACACACACACACACAACCTCCTTAGCACAGTCTCACATTTAAAATATTTTCTTTAACATTTCATTAAGTGTCCACTGTTAACACTGTCCAGTGTGAGTGACGCTCTTTCATAAATGCTGATTAAGTGTGTGTGGGGTGTGTGAGAAAGGGAGAGAGAGGCATAACAGGAGAGAGGAAGACCACTCTCCTGTTAGATCTCTGGGCTGTGAAGAGACACATGGCCCGGATCAATAATAAACCCTTAAATGCAATCAATAGTAAAACACACACCATTTCCCATCACATGAAAACACACATTCATAAAATTAGACAGTGCTCTACGGTAACAAGACCTCGTTCAGAACAGATGTTAACTGTCACAGCCTCACATAACATTGTATTAATGTGCGTTTGTGTTCTTACCTGTCTTCCAATCAACATGACTACAACATACCCTTCATAAAGACTCACACACACACACACACACACACACACACACACCATTCAGTCCCGCTGCACCAACCCCCATCTCTCCACTCACACTATCAGAATCCCACTATCTCAGCGTCACACAGGGACACACACTCCCCTCTGGCAGACAGATGTGGTGCTAGGCAGCACAAAGCCATGCTGAGCTGGCCTATTCAAACGTTTGTTTGAGGCCCTTTCGGGAGGGCACGCAGATCACTGACCACTGAATAAATGAACACACTCATACATACACAGTCTTCCTTTGCGACTGACTAACACACACCGACTCTCATGGGACTCAGCTGAGGTGGACAGAAGGTTGACCTCATGGCTCTTTGCTCTTCAATTATTTCTTCTGGGTTCTTTTCAACTTCATCGGCAGGGCTGCAGATATTACTTTAAAATGGGCCAACACTGTGGCAAGGACAACTACTTAAACAAGAAAAAACACAATAAGTGAGCATAAAAGGCATAATGTGGACTATGCTGATACCAAATAATATAACTTAGGGTTGAGAGATATGAATATATTTACACAAGGAAAACTATACAAACTTGTCAACAGTTTCTACCCTTTTAATGAGTTATCAAGGCAGACATGCCTTTAATATATTTCATTGTATGAGGCCACTGGGGAAACGCTGCAAATCAGTGAGCAGTAGTTTTACCTAAACAGCCATTCCAGCACAAAATGAGCTGAATGATATAAACATACTGAAGCAGTACATCTTGTGTACTATGAGATGATGACTGTCCTTGAATTTCTTTGAGCCCTCTCAAATGCCAAACCAGTATCCTGGTGGGAGCTGGAGTCAATGACTCTGACAGTAAAATATTTCCCTGACTTTTTTTTAACCACGTGGGTATATAAACATTTGTTCAATGTTTAATCCCTCCAAACCAAATGAAAAGTTTCCACCAAGTTCTCACCCAGTAGGGGCCATACCACGGAAACAAATGATCCATTTTAGATCCTGACCGTCAACTTGATCACTCCTACATTTGAGAAATATAATGTTCTTTATGAAATTAAAAGAGGGAAATTAGATAGACCACTTGACTATAGTTGTTTTATTAAACTGGTTTCTGTAGCTTTTTTTTTTTTTTTTTTTTTTTTTAAAACATGACATGATAATGCTGACATGTAATTTCTTTGGTACATAGATTCTGAATATTTGAAAACATGTCAATGCTCATCTTCTGTAGTATTGATGCACCAACACATGACTACATGTAAAAGATGTTAAACGCATCTGCCTAGTGTGTTATATTCAAGATGGTTCTTATCAAAAACACTTTTTTGATAGGGGTTGAAAAAGCAGGAGTCATTTTATAATCAGGGCAAACAGACTGCCTTTTACCATCTGAATGAGGACCTGACGTTGGGTCACAGGAGACTTTGGCATGGGATCTCAAAACATTAAGAAAACCGTGCGTTCCAAGAGCAAAGTAAAGAAATCATTGCTTTACTGTACAGTCACAATCTGCTCATTTAGATTTCCAAATAGTGGCCTAATTATGTGTGGTTGGTGCAACAAGTAGTGATCAGCAAATCCAAAGGGATGGGTTTTTTTGTTTAATGGACATTAAAACCTTTAAATTATAGGGTTAATTCATTGTCTTTAGACATAAGAAGAGAAAACAAACCAAAGTCAAACATACACACCATCAACGAGATAAGCACACACCCTTATGCACAGACATACATTCATCAAACGGGACTAGCCAGCAAGACACACCCTCCTCAGGGGACCTGCCTGGATGTCTCCACCCTCTTCAAAGCAAGTATTCAAATCTCCAATGAGTGTGTGAAATAGAGCAAAGGAGGAGATGGGGGTTGGTACATGGTAGAGGCAAAAGTACCACACCCCCACCCACACATCTCCCATACCCCATTATTAGTGTCCCAAATTATCCACGAGGGGACTTAAAGAGAAACAGTGCTACCCCCTCCTCCCTGCCCCTTATTTCTACCATCCACTTCTTTGTCTCCACCGTCGCTGCCAACCCACACACAGCCCCCAGATAACACCATGCAATTAGTGGGTCCCCACTCTTCTCTTTCACTCCCCTTCTTTATTTATACATTTATATCTACATCGCTATACAGCTGTGTTGTCGACCTCTTAGTGTGTTTCTTTCTGAATGACTTTCCACTTATGTACTAAAGAAAGAACAACTAGACACTCCCTAGACATCCCACCAGCCTAGCTCAGCTTCCCTTTCACTCTCTAGCTTTATCTGACCTGACCTTGCCTTGTTTTTGATCCATCTCTCATCTCTCCCTCTGAATATCCACCACTACTTTGCTCCTTGAACTAAACTGCTGTGACGAGCCCCTGGTGAAAGCGATATTGTAATTACATGCCACTGTGACCACTTCCTGTCTGACAGAGCCTTATTTCTTGCTCCTAAGGGCATTTCTACTGGCTGAACAAGTCTTTTGGCATCTATGTCAAAGAAATAAAAAAAAGTTTCAAGACCGGCAGCCTGTGAATGGTCTGCTATTAGGTGATTAGACTAGTTTTAATTCTGTGAAATTAGTAAAAGTAACAAACGTGTGTGCATCTGGAAACAGAACAGGGGCCTGAATGTAAAATGATCAATAAGAGCAGACATGACAGCGACACAGACACCGAAGAAGCTGGATTGCAATATTTATTTTCTAAAGCACTGAAATCCTGCCTCTCACACATACTCGCACACAAATGGCAATTCTCACACATAGCATAGCATAAACTAACATATGCTACCATTAATCAGTGGCGCTGACTACCTTTGGTGGTGGCTGAAGACAGACCTGTGCGCACACACACTCTCCACTGCTTTCACTTAGCTGCAGTGATTCCCCACTGCTGGAAAACTGCCCATGCAGCAGCAATAATGTAAACACATTGAGCAGCCATCATCGGTGCTTATTGCTCAGTCTGTTTCTTAGAAAACAACTGCAGTCACATAGTTTTACACGCACACTCAGACCCTGGCAGCTCATCACCTGTGGACATAGTGTAGCTGGTGAACAGAGTCAATGGCCAACACCATCTCAGCCAGGTAGAATTTGGCCATCTCCTCTGGCAGTCGGTCCTCAAACTTACTGAGCAGGGTCAGCAGGTCACCACCCACATAGTAGTCCATGACCAGGTACTAGAGTGACAAAGAGACAGAAAGAAGGAAAATATGAGAAAGAAAGAAAGACAGGAACATAAAGCATTAGTGACCTAAGGTGCAGTGCAGAGTCACAGGGCTGAAAAAAAAGAAAAGTGAAACATTGAGATTATTTAAAAAAAGGTTGCACTCGTACATCTCTTCTCTCCCTTTTTTCTCACATTATCATTACTACCAAGAGGCACTGAGTACCTAAATGGCTCTTAACTTTTAAGGATTTCCCTAAAAATAAACAACTGGATGGGTGTTGGTGTATATTTTCAAAGCCTTGTGGAGTGTCCAGGTTAATGCATTTGTTGTGAGAATGTGGGAAATGGAATGATAAGCAGTCCTGGCATTTCAGGGTCACATAGAGACAGGGCCGGCTGTTAAGCTAGAAAGAAAATAACTGCTTGCAGCAGCCAATGAAAGTCAGGAACACCTTTGCTGACAACCAAGTCCTTCGGTCTTGTATGCAAATGTTTTTGCCAATGTCAGTTTCTATTGCCCAATTTCCTACAATTCTAAGTTGTGTTGTGCTTTGGAAGCAGAAATGAATGGGGGGAGGTCAGTGTCTGGCAGGTCACCAGCCATCGTGGACAGGTGGTACTGTATTTTAAAACTGAAGCGAAGAGTGAAATGGTGAAAGTTGCAGCCGGGGTTACTCAGAAAAATAGGAGCGGTATTCTTTCAAAGTACCTCAATCTGAATGTGCTGAAATGTATGAAGTAAGATGGGCTGATGGTCAAAAGCAGTCTGATATATCAGATAATGCTTATAACTCCCTGAGAAAGGCACGGCCATGGAACGCTTGCTGTATGGTGACTGGAGGAAAAAAACATTTCCTGCTCAGGAATACACACATGCACAGAGAGAAGAAGAAAGAATGCTGTATTACCAGATTATTGTCATCCTGGAAGGCATAGTGCAGGGTGGTGATCCACTGGCAGTCTCCATTTACCAACACGTCCCGCTCCTCCCGAAAACATGCCGTCTACACAAAGACATAATAAACTTTATACCTAACAAGATTTAAATGTTACACATACTGGAGACAATATCAAAGAATGGTGGTCTGTCCTTCAACTACACAATTGTTGGAATAGCCAGTCTTGCATGAATAAGTGTAATTCACTGTGCGACACCTCAGGCCTCTTCCATTAGGAGGTCAAAGGTCACGATCTTCTATAAACCTGCATGCTAGGAGCTGACGGAGATTGTGTCTTGGCTAAACGGGATGTTTACCAACATGTTAGCTCAATACCATTCAGCAGTGTAGCCTGCTTATTCAAGTCCTTTATGTTGGGTTTACATAAATAAAATCTGACTTGCTTTAAGTAACCTGGGTGTGTAATTTTTCTGATTTCTTACAACTTAATGTGAACAAGAAAATGCCATATTTGAATACAACCTGACTAAGACATCTTCATTTTGCAACAGTAAACTGACTTGATGGGAATGTTTATAACCTTAACTGAATTATAACAGGGTTTTCATAGCAGAGCATCTATATAATAAAAACCCGAAAACTGTGCTGTAAATGCAACAGCAATACAAAAAGAACAGGAAAGATCATTACTTGGAGCTGTTATAGCTGTTTTATTAAATGTAAAAGTCTAAGTAAGGCTATTTCCACAGATGAACAGTGGGTTATTTGGAAAAGTCAAACAAGCACAGAAAAAAAAAAAGACTTAATGACAATGTTACAACAGCTACATGATTAGTGTGCACTGTCCATTGGTTGCGCCACTGTACACTTTTTCCCCTGTCCAGAAACCAGTTTAAACCAGTGACATATGAGGCATGAAGACTGAAGACCCATGGGCCCGACAGGGATGTACGAATGTCAGGAAGAGCTCGATGAGAAAAACATGCATTGGCAGCTCATGCGACTCAGGCAGCAGCATCCATCAATTAATGTTTGATTTGTCAATAGTCAAACCAGGGGTGTGGTTTCTCTTGACAACACCCACATTTCAATTAATGATCATTCCTTATTATTATTTACTGACCCAGTATTCATAACTGGTACTGTTGCAACCCCAGAAGTTCAAAAACACTCACCTCAGCTCGTTTCAGCATCTCCCATTTGTTGAGAATCTTCATAGCGAATACCTTGTCAGTGTTTTTCACTTTTACAACAGCAACCTGCAGAAAGAGAACAAAAGCTGGAGTGTTAAAAACCGTTTCAATCCTTTGTATGACAACAAAGCCAGTCAAAGAATATGAAGCATACTGAAAAGACCAATAGGGACATAGCAACATTTAATAATCTTACCCTCGAGGCACTAGGAAAAAGAAAAGGGTGTGATCATACTTCAATAGTTCACAAACAACAATCATACAACTCAATTATGTGTGAAAACATTAAGATGCTCAGTACTAATGCTGCCTGATTAATGTATTTTATTACACTCCTCCCATCTATTTATCCATTTTCTGTGTCTCACTTATAACCAAGTGATGATGTGAATCCATTTGAAAAGAGGAAATACCAGGGAAACAGGAGGCAGACAGACAGTGTGGATGAAAGGTAAGAAAGTCAGGAATAAAGCAAAGCTTTAGGAAAGCAATTTGCAAATAGGAGGGGAGAGAAAAAAGAAGAACAAATAGCGGTGTGACAAAACACTTAACTCATGAGACAAGACAATATTTTAACACTATTTTTAGGAAATCTTCAGTGACAAAATATATGACTGGAGAAACTATTTTATTTGACTGAAAGTCACAAAATGCAAAACAGTGCAGATACATTTTGAAATGTTTTAACTAATCATATTGTAATAAGTGTCACTTCAGTTCTACTTTGAGTTTGGATTATATAGAGTAAAAGACGACAATATACAAAGCAGTGTAAAAGGTTTTGCCACAAACTCAGCTGACTGGCTTCTCTCCTGTATGATTTTGTATGAGTCTCTTCAGACCTTAGAACTGCCCATGAGCTTCTAACCAAAGCTGTGTGTGACCTTCTGTGATATTTTCACCATCACGGCACCGCACCTGACAGTAACATCATCTGGCAAAGGCGTTGTGGTGACCAATCACATATGGGGGACGATCGGGACTTGGACGCCCACAGGAAGACAGCTTTTTTGTTTACCTTTTTAGCATGACCATTCACTGCTATTCACTGTCGAATTGGGGCCACAATTAAAGCACCATAATGGCACACCATGTTGGTGGTAGGATTGGTGCTAAGATAGAGTAGGCTATGTTAGCAGCCTGGCTAACACAACAAAAACTTACAGGATGAAAATGTGAATGAAGTCACCCACATCAACCTGTCACATGGCCATATCATACACGCCTACAAAACTTCCCCTGTAATCCCCTTACCCCCGACCAATGCAGCCCCGTATGTTAAAACACAGCAGGGAACTGCATTTTTACTGGATTAAATTGAATGTAGGGTCACTTTGCCGTCACACTGGCTGCTGCTCCGAGTCTGTTATATACGGATATTGTGAAATATATCATCATGTTTCAATACTGCAAAATCTCATCACACTACTACAAATAAATGATGCATTGGATTTGGAGGGACAGGAAACCAAGGGATGAATGGGAGTGGAGAGAAGAAGGATGAAGAGGAAATGAGGCAGATGAGAGAATAAGGGGAAGTAAGATATGGAGGAGGGGGGAAGGGAACAGAATGGGCAGGAAGTGACCATGCATACTAAAATGCTGACTTAAAAGGCCAATGGAAACACACACACACACACACACACACACACACACACACACATACACACCATCCAGAGACACACATTCTCACACAGCTGGACTTCAATATGATTCATGCTTTTCTACTAGTCTGTGCTCCAGAAAAAAAACATTACAGCACTCCTCAAATCACTGTATCCAGTGATTTGAAAATCAATAGTGAGTGCAGATGTGGTGGTTTGGAAAGATATTTGTTTGTGGATTATATATTTTGTATTCACTGATGTATGCTCTATTCAAAGACAACACAAACCTCATTTTAAAAATTAAAAAAATTAAAAAAAAAAGTTCAGATAAATGATCTGTTTACTGAAAATATCATTTGTTCATCTGAAACCACTCATATGTATTTAGTACATGTCCTACAACTTGTATAAACTTGTATACTTTTACTACAGGGCAAACTTGTTGCTTAACAATTTAACAGTATAGTTAAAACTTGGAATAAACTGGCCAACATGTGAGTAAGTGATGCAATCAAATTGAAAACAAGCAAATTCAGTAGATAATAGGTGTGAAATGGTACCATCTCAGAAAATATCACTGTTTCACGGTATTACACAATTATCAGCTCCAACAGCCCTCTGAAAAGTGGAGAAAGGTCCTTTTTTATTACAAGTGACTGTGACAGATGATTGAGATGGATTGCAGCACTAGAGTGACTCCAAAGAATAAACAGTTATAAAGATGATTTTAAAAAACATCCAACTATAACATGTAATATAACTAAAGCATGTTAGTTTGAATGTTAGCACCAGGAACAGAGGACGTATTCACATCGTTTACTTACGTAAAAGTACTAATATCACAATGAAAAATTCACTTACAATGTTCCAAAAAGTCCTGCATTAATAATGTTAAGTAAAAATAAGTATTAAAAGTATTAGTAGGCTATTCAATGAAGAAAATGTTATACAGTATATTCTATTATTACACTGACAGCCTGTCACTCATGCACTGATGTAAAAGCAGGACTTGCTTGTTGTAGCTGGCTGAGGTGGAGGCTCTGCTGAACTAGTTTGTATCCAAATGCAACTTCTGATTATTGTCATTACAGATGAACCTGCTAATTATTTTCTCCATGAATCGACTGATTGGTTTGTAGAACTTCTGACAAAAGTGAGAAAGGCCGTCAGGCTGCTGTAAATGATTATCAGAACAGTTGTTACTTTATTGTAGGTGTGTGAGAGCACAGCCAGACCTATCTGTACCATCACTCACACACAAACACTCATTAATGTGAGCTGGAAAAGTCTGTGTGTGTGTTTCTATGGTCAGATCAGTGCGAGGTCTGTTGTACGTCAGAGATTAGTGAACGAACAGACTGGAAAATTACATCAGGAGCGCATTTTAGCAACGTTTATGGTTTGGGATTGAAGTTAGAAACAGGGCACATACTTCATGTACAGAGAGAAGGTGTTTTCGAAGGTGTTCGATTTTGCTGGATAGAGTTCGGTGATTTCAGCCTCCTTCTCTCTGCCAATTCTTCACTGCCTGTGTGCACGTGGTGCCCGCAGCGGAGTCTTAAGGCAGTCGGGTAAGTAAGGTGTACACAGATTGGGTTTTTTTTCCCTTCAATACCAGTAATAAACAAAAGTGCATGGTAGGATAATTGTCATTTTTCATACCACGGTATACCATTAAAAAAAAAAAATCGATACACTAGTGTTGCCCTGTCAGGTGCACTTTTTCACCTTCACCACTACTTTGTCTGTGCACTAACCATGTGAAACTGCACCAACCTTGCTGTTAAAAGTACAGCTGCTTAAATTTAGACAGGCAACAAATACCTTTTAGTTTTCAGTCCTCATGTACCATCTTAACTACATAAATGCCTAAATTCCCCTTACTGATAATTGCTAAACATTACAATGTTAAACTTCCTCAGCTCTGGCTTCACATTTTGCCAAAAAAGGAGCTACTCAAGCTGCTGTGACAAACCACTGCAAGCTGACGGGCAAAGGCCATTTTCATGCAAATGTATGCCCTGGTTTGATTTCCCTTAGCTTCTTTAATAGTTTGTAATATTGAAGCAATCCACAAAGCAAACATCCTATTTTAATTCAGTATCTTTTTTTGGTTAAATGCACACAGAAATATTCATAAATAACTTCTGAAGATGAACAAAAACACAGGAATTTATATGCACACTGCGCACACACATGCAGACAAGCAGTGAAACAAACACATGCACCCTATGTAGCTCAGGGGTCTGTAGTCTATTAAATGAGCTGGGGAATGCTGCTAATGCAGTACAATGATAACATTCCTGCAGTGTTTGGATTTCCCCTAGTGATCCCTCAGCAGAGGAGAGGAGGAACAGAGGAGTGTGGGGGAGCACACTGTTCTTGGCAACTCCTTGTCGTTTTTGTCCTTTTCTGCATTTCTCTACTGTTCTACCTTAATCTTGTCCTCCCTGTCGGGCCTCATGTGTCAGCTACAGAGCCTAAGAGACTAAGCTGAGTTCAACTCACTATATTAATGGATTAAAGTATGCGTTGTTAGCTGGGTGTTGACTAGGTCTTAAATTTTATTTTATTATAATCAGTTTGGAGAAGGCGTGAAACAAACCCCAACAGTTAATCTAATTGTTCTCCAAGACTTGTCAGAGTGGCAAAACGAGCTGATAGCACACTAGTAGCTGTATGATGGCTACAGCACTGACAGACCTAACAGCCAAGGCCACATATGGCTGTGGTATGTGGTTATGTGGCTGCTGCTGAGTGACTCTGTATAACATTCAGCACAGTAACGTAGCACACCGATGTCCTGTGACTCCAGAGAAACTTAATAGTTACCATAATGACATCTATTTTTAGCAAAGCCAGCCAGCGTGAAGGAAACCTAATCTTGCCATTGTATCAGGTGCTATCCACTGAGCTCCACCAGACTGAGCACCTTTTGGCCTGTTTGTACTGGCAAACAGGAGCTGGAGTCATAATGGGGGCATTCTCACAGGCAGCAGGCCAGTATACACTGGTCCATTCAGCAAACAAGCTCCAGAGCGTCACACACACCTGCGCCATGTCTCTGCCTGCGGCTGACAATGGGAGGACAAAATCAAAACATCCTGTACTCAGTCTCTCTTGCCTCCCTTTCTGACTCAAGTATTTTTTTTTTGTTTGGCATAGTTGCCTTGTGTCTGTCCCTGTCTGTCTGCAGCTGCCTCTCTTTTTCCTTTGTGACTCTCTGTTGCGGTAACTCCATCTCAGTTCCGTTCTTAATTTTCTTATAAATCTTCAGAAGCAACCACAAAAGAATCCTACCCCTATCAATTTGGCCAAAAATACACACGTGTTTCTCCAAATTTGCCATAAGTTTCTAGTTGGACTCAAGGGTGAACGGATTAGTTTTTGATAATCAGTCAGGGTCCCAGTCCCGTGAATGTGACAGGTTGCCAGAGGCATCCAACAGCAAAGCGGCAGCTCTAGTTCAATTCTGATACATTTTTGATACTTTTGTTACCTATAACAGTAACATCCTAATTAAGCCATGCTGTACCAAGTGTAGTTTAATCAGTTGATTAAAAAGTGAAGCCATGGGACAATCATGATGTCCATCCAGCTAATTTTATTGTTCTATCGTGTAAAACTCTAGCTGGCTGAGTGAAAAAGCACTGTAATATTATAACAAGGTAGCATCATTAATGGGTCACACCACACTGCTAAGCACAATCCTGAAACAACTCACCTACACACATACACACACCAGCACTCCTTGCAGTTGTACAAAGTAATAACCAAGTATTTTGTGGTGGTACTGTAGCAACATGTTGGTCACCGTGTCGAAAACAATCTCCATCCATCGCTTTGTCTACAACTCTGTCTCTCTCCATTAACATTAAATGTTGTTTGAAAGCATGCAGAGAGGATCACAATGATCAGTGCAGTGTTAAAACCTATTAAACAGGCATGTGATTGTCAAACCAATGCCATGTAATGGTGAAAACTGTCAGTGTGAGGACAGGAGGTTTTTGCAGGACACTGACATTATGTAAGAGTGTCCTGCTGTGGACCACAATACCTGCCCCTCCAACATTCCCCAGCCTTGACATCATTACCTGAAACTCTGTGACATTTCACCCTTCCTACAGGCACGCATGACAGCAAAAACTAAAACAAACAAAAACATATGAACTCACACTGGATGGTTTCATACTAATTTGTTTTCTCTTCACAAGTTAAGTGTGAAAGAAGATTGTAAAGGTTATGTTCAAGCTGCAAGTAGAGTCATGCTCATGTGTCGGACTAATGCTATGCACTGCTACTGGAATGCAGCAGAAAGTAAATCACTGTCAAACACAACAACACTCTTGTCTTTTATGACTCCGGTATTAGGGTGTAAGGGTACAAGAGAATAGCCTTCTTCTGGCAGGTATTATCCTGGGATCATACTGCCAAATCTTAACCTTAAGGAAGAAATTCCAGATTTTGAGGTGTGCCCTGTCAAACAGATAAGTAGACAAATGCTTCAAACTACAACGCCTGTTTCTTATTCAAAAGGGTGAAAGGAAAGAGCACTTTGTCAGGCTGTATGGTAACGGGTTAATGCATCGCTGAGTTGAGTGTGAAACCAGAAGATAGTTTACCTCTCCAAATGCTCCTCGTCCAATCACCTTTAGGATCTCAAAGTCTTCTTTGTGAAGGCGCATCTGCTTCACTTTGGACGTGAAGGGTTTGGCTGTAGAAAAGACAGGAGTCAGGTTAAAAAAAAAAAAAAAAACTGCCAAGTGACATATAAAGGACTATAGGCATAAAAAGCAGATTGTTTTATTATATCTTCAGATCACAAAAAACAGGATATATAGTCAGTTTTTGTCATAAAAGTATTTCAGAAAGGTGGGGGGTGTATGTTGAATCCAGTGAATGAATTATACAGGCACATAAACCAGGAAAGATTATAAGTGCCTTCTTAGAGATTTTCACGGCATTTTGTAGTTGAAGGGTCATGCCTGAAAGTAACACTGCCGCCCTGTGCCTTCCACTCAGAGTAAATTATTACACTTATGGTTATTAGGTTTTAGCATAACCCATCTACATCTGACATCCAAGACAGTGTATTTAATGAATAAAGCAACTATGTCAGTAACATCACTGATAAGATGAGATGCATCAGGATCTGTCTGTTTCAAAAAAACTAATCAATTACATCCCTTCACAGTAAGTTTTCAGAGCAGTGCTTAGTAATGTCAAGTTTTTACAAGTTAAGAAAACAAACAACCAAGTCAGTTACAGTGCTATACTGATGTGTGAGAAAAAGAAAAGAAAAAAACTCAGCTGCACTGAAGTTAGTTGGACACATTGAACCCGGTACAGAATTGCCTGCCATCAGACGGGATGGGATAAGAGCCTACCACCTCTGCTAACCAATTTTCTGTGGTAAATCCCAACTATCATTTACAGTTTCCTCTAATCAGCAAAATCACTAATACTTACTGGTGGATTTGAATAAATGTCATGGGCAGGAGGCAAGGTCTAGACATTTTCTGTGTCAGTAGATACCGTTATCCTATGACCCAGGCTTATGGAAACATGTTTGTGCAAATTATGTGGTAACCCACTAGGGACCCAACATTTTCGACTAACTCATCAAAGGCCGCCATGCTATTCTAAATGGACTGTATCAAAGTGTTAGTAACCAGCTCAACCTCTTTATAGCACAAGAAACCGGACATACAGTTGTTGGATGATAAAGCTAGCTATTGTTATGGGTATGGTGTAGTTCCTGGGCCTTGGGAGGGCTTTGTGAAGGGTGGCCAGCATTCTCTCACAAAAGCTACACAGATTCCATCTATGGCTGACAAAAATCAGCATTTCCCTCATTTGTGAAGAGCTATTTGATACTTCCTGGTCTACATGACCCCAGTATGCCAAGGATAACTTGGACTGGCTACAAGTTCACCATGGTCAGCATACTGGTTATACTGATACCCAGATTTGCTAATAACACAGACAAACAACTGAACTGTTCATGTTAAAAAGTATTTGCTGCCTGCCTATGTTTAAGCAGCTGTACTTTTAACAGCAAGATTGATGGAGCTTTGCATGATTAGTGCACAGACAAGCTACCATTCACATTTAAATACACTAATGCTTTTTGGTAAACAAAAGACACAATCTCCACCTCTCATACAAGCATCCTTGTGCATGCATGTGTGTGGGAGCTGACCACAAACCAAGATGGCAGTTTGGCCAAACATCATACTAAACCCATCTGACACCTTCAGGGTCAAAGAAACAGACATTCTCCTGCAGTGAATCAGGAAAAATGCCTGCTGAAATTAAATAAACTGGCCACTCGTAGCTCAACAACCTCTCACTCTCCTTGCTATGATCACAGAGCAGAGGGAAAGTAGGGGTCAGTGCAGTGTAGGACATCCTGGCATGTAGCCCTACAAAACAAAAACACACAAGTAACTCAGCCATCTACCTGAGTATGGCTGGAATTTAAACATCTGATGTGGGAAAGATGCTTAGTCATAACATTCCTTCTCCTGCAGACCAGTTATGGAGCAAGTAAACCAGAAATATTGAAGCTAGGGCTGGAACGGTTCACAAAATTCATGGTTCGGTTTATATCCCGGTTTTGGGTTCCGTACATTTTTAGTAAAGTGAGGTAAAAGGCATTACCAGTTTCAACATGCTTTTTATTTATTTGGCAGAAAGAGTTTGCCTTAACAGTCTGGTTAGGATCATGAGGCACATAAGCACTTCTTCACTGTCAGCATAAACCAAACACACAGTGTAGACCGTTCCAAAGAAACACTTCTCTGTTCACTCCATTTTCATGTCTTCTGCAAGATGCCAAGTTTGTTCACATTCTGGTGTGAAAGGCAAGATCTACTGGCAGTAGCATTGTGCTCTACTGTAGAGAAAACTCTCTAGCTGGGTACAGATGTAAAGGGAAGTCATGTCATTTTATCCACCACTTTAGACATGTTTTCACGTGCACGTCACCAACAGATGGGATTCCATTCTATCAAAGTGTCAACTGACACAGAGCATGTAAGAGGTGTGTCACCCCTGCGTTTTTTTTTTTTTAAGCTTTCAGGGGTTCCTCCAGCGGACTTAGTGAAGCGTAATCTCCACAGACAGCTGTTTAAATATCTCAAATCGCTAGTTATTTTCTGTCTGATACATTTTTACTATACGGTGAAGACTGTTTGTCTGGCTGCTGTCCTGACAGATTGATAAGCTGAACGAGCTGATCACGCCACACTTTCAGAGGTGAATTCACAGTAAATCCGTAGCAGACAGAAATGACGCTGGTGGATCTTCTAACTATACTTTGTCTTGTCCACTGGCCATTCATAAGATCGACTGACAGCTGCAATCGATAGTTCATCTGTGCCAAGACGTTTTACTGGGTTACTGGCTTTTTTCCCAAACAACTTTTTCTGTGTATGTCTCAACCCCTCTCAAATGAACCAAATAATACATACGTGAACCAAACCATGACTAGCGATCCAAAAAGGGCAGATTTTTTTACTTTAACTGTTCCAACCCTAACCGAAGCTATGGCTAGGGGTTGATGAAGCCTGTTGTATTTAGGGTAGTGAGCCACCTGCTGACTACTGACCAAAACATCACCATATACCCACAAAACTAGTGACAAACAAGCGAATTGGTCTTTCTCACAAAGTGTTCTTGTGTATCCTTGTGCATTATCCAACTGCCTGATAGCACAATCTCCCAAAGAATACAACGTCTAGGGCAGAGAATAATACTTAGCGTGCTGAACTTGAAAGACTCATTACTAGAAAAGAAGTATCACAGCCAAAGAGCAGTCAAGTCTTCGGTAAAGATCACATTTCAGCTTGGCATCGTTACATGTGATAATCATGTATGGTTTTTATTCATGACAGGTTGGCCATAGGTCAACCTGGCAAACAAACTTATAAGCAACTAGTCAACTTCACTACTGCACACAGAACTCTTTTCAACTGTGTCCCTGCCAGAGCACTCTATTTCAACCAGCACCTCTAACCAGATGCAGCATGTTTGCAGAGTAAAGATAATATCTTGCAACTAAAGCCCTTAGGATTCATATTAATTTCTGTATCAAAGCCACAAAATTGTGCTGGAGTAACAAGCAAGCAGGCAAGAGATTAAAATTATTTAAGATGGCTGATTTTCACTCTTCAAGCATGTAAATAGAATTCTCTTCAGCTTCATTTTTTTAACTGTATTCTTACATTTTATTCTGCTAAATTGTACATAATGAGACGATTTATGACAGTTGTTCATTACAAGGTACAAAGAAGAATATATTTGTTTTCTCAAAAACAAAACAAAAGCTATCATAATCCCCAGTGTCACATGCTTCGGTTCTATATAAATGAGAGGAATACAATTAAATTACGTCCCTGTTTTGGTCTTATATATTTGTTACATAAGTGCTCCAATATTCTAATTTCTGTCTTCAGGTTTGAGTAGGTTTTATTCTATAATCTACAATATCATTATTAGCCAAGAGCTACATAAATAAATACTATAAAAAAGGATCCATTAATTCAGCATTGTCCATACAAACTATACAGCTTTAGCAGCTCACGCCATATCAACACTAAGGTTATGGTCTGTCCTAAAGAGTTACAGTAATTGATGTAGATAAGGGATGTCAAACTCAATCGCACATGGGGCCAAAACACAAAGCACACTTTAGGTCGCGGGCCGAACAGGATAAACATTTATTGAACAGACTAAAACTAAATGTTGTTTGAACATAAAGATGAATGGAAAAAGACAGGATACAATATTATTCCAAAATAAATAAACTTGAACTTAAAATCACCAACCGTATTTCTGCTGACTTACATTTACAAACACCTGCTTTTTGTCTGGACACAAGTACTAATTATGTAAAATGGCTCACCGGACACAGTGCAGCTAATTTTAACTACTGTACTTGTTCAGGCTGATTTGGCTATCTCCTCTGCTGCAATAAAACTTGCTGTGTGATTTCGCTTTGGTGAAAACGTCTGCTGTGATGTCAGATTCCTCTTCAACTCCTCTACCTTCTGTAGCTTCTGCTCTGCATTCACATTTTTCAGCTTCAGTTTTGTCTCGTAGTGCTGTCTTAGGTTATATTCCTTAATTACAGCCATATTAGCTCCACAAATGAGACACACCGGTTTACCAGCAATGCCAGTAAACATATACTCAGCCTCCCACCGGTTTTCAAAGGCTCTGTTTTCAGAATCAACTTTTCTCTTGGCCATTGTTAAGGGCTAGCTTTGACCTGAAATTAGGGTTGTATACATCAACAGACGCTTGACTGATCTGACGTAATTGACACGGGAATGATCGCAGGTAGCCTATCGTTCGGTAAGGCAGCTGTTGTGCTGCATTATGGGGTGTTATCAGCGCATCATATCGCCGGGCCATTAAAAAAATAAGATATAAAATGATCTCGCGGGCCACTTGAGTTTGACGCATGTGATACAGACTATCTACTTTTAAATCACACAACCTTAGACCCTACTGGTGCTTTCCACTTCCCATTCAGTTGTCAACTTAATTCAACAGTGTTAATCCTCCGTCTTCAACAACAAAGCCCATTACTGTTGGGAAGACAACTAGGTCATATCTCAGATGTCTGAGATCCCTTGCTTTCTTATACCTCCGTCTAAAGTGATCTGACACAGAAGGACCGGTCACAGGTATTTAGAACTATGCATA